GCTGAAATATGTAGTCAATATTTACTCTCAAGTATATTTGTCTTTTAGCTTTAGATAAGCAATAAGCTACAGCCATATCCGTGTTATAAACCAAAGTACTTTGCATGCAGCACATGTAGACCTGACCTTCATGCTCACTTTCATTCAGGTGTGTCAGACACAGACAACGTTGTGGCTGTTGCAGTGCAGTACTACCCTTGGGCCACTTGATACTGGCTGATATTCTGGAAAGTCCCGTAGGGATTTTGCAGCCCAGGATGGACCTCTTGCTGTGGCATGCTTTATTAACTCTATTCCAGTGACAACTTTTCTGTAGCCATGTTAGATGGAACATGATAAGACAGACTTTCAGATTGCAGAGCAAATGCTAGATATTTTACAAAATGGAAATACTCTAGAGCTCACAACCTTGTATGGGAACCTCTTCTTTAATTTCTAGTCCTATAGTAAGGTGCCTGAGTAAATAAATAATGGTATTTAGCCAAAGGATTATCAGTAACTTTTGATGCTTTCTTTGATTTTTATTTTCTTCAGATAAAGAAAGAAACAATTGACCTACTGGAGATGAGTATTATAAAGCTGTGCAGAGAGGGGTCTGTGAAGCTGGGACTCTTTTAATGGTTTTACCAACAAGGAAGTAATTTGCAGCTGCATTTTACTCTTATCCTGTCTGCAACTGGCAAGTGATTCACAGGTGGTGGAATCAAGAATTTCGACTTTTTGGAGGTCTGTCAATACAGAAGGAATGCACATTGCAGCTTTTTCTGAGTTTCCTTTTCTTCTAATAATACAACAGAAGTTTTGTTTGTAGTTTTGTTACCATTTTTATTGTGGGCAGTAATGTGATACTGAAATTAGAGTTACATTGCATTCACCTGCTAGATTTACTACTGCATGTCATTTTAGGACTTTGAAGATGAGCAAACTTGGGTGTGAAAATCTTTGTACAACTGAATTCTTTGTTACCTCCCTCTGCTGTCCCAAAGGAGACATTTAGCTCTCTCACAAGAGTGGTAATCTAGTTCTTGCCTTCAAGAGTCTTTGAAAATGTTCTATGAAATTCAGTAATTTGTCAAAAAGGTATTCACCTATTTGTTCTAAAGCTGGCCAAATGCTATTTTTTGCTATTACATGATAAATTATCTGTATATTGAGACTTTATTTTGGTTAAATTGTTGAAGTGTGCAAAATTTTTCTTCTGTTTGTCCATTTAAATTAAAAGGAGATGATCTCTGGGTGATTCTTTTGTCATTGTGGGTAGTAGGGAATGGATAGATTTTTTTCAGAGGACAAGATGAATAGAGGCAAGCAAATCATCAACATCTTGAAAAGGCGTTGATCCAATCAGACGTTCTGAGAACAAGTTGCCCTTTTGTGACAAAGAACACGTAACCTTTTTGCAACCTTAAATTGCATCTGAATCAATAGCAATGAATGTAGTAAGTTAAGAAAATTGATTTGGTCTTCCCAAGCAATGTTTTCTGTCCAGTGCTGTCCCAGCACCTGCAGTCCTCCCCAGTGGCATCCAGTGCAATTGGAGCAGAGCTCCTTTCGTTGTACACCATGCCTGTTAGCTGGGCAGCTATGGAAATGAAGGAAGAAGAAATAATGCATCTGAGATTACACAAAAATTCCAGTATAGCTGGCAATATCCCTGCAAATGAGTAAGAATAACAAATCTTACTGAATTGTGGGGCAGTAAAAAGCATATATTTCAGCTTTTCCAGGAAGCATGAGCTGGACACCCTGACCAAAGTACACAATCATTTGATTGGTATAAGCTGATCATGGGGATGCAGGCACAAATGTAGAAAATGAGGAAGAGAGAGATCTAGTTAATAAGTAATTCCTGGCCATAATGCAGGTTTGAACAAACAAGTACAGTCTCACAACATTAAGGACAGTATCTCAGTTTAACCACTCTCCAGCACAAGTATATTACTCCTTCCACTTACCAAGAACAAAATGAAAAACAAGACAAGTTTTCTTCCACAAGAAGGAGATGCACGTCCTTCCAGATGTCCGGATAACAGTGCATTCAAACAACAGAAGCTACCAGCTTGGAAGCCCCAGTTTACCATTGCAACTGTGCTCTCCAGCTTCTTTTTCACAGGCGCGTTCTGCCTTTCTGTGGGAGTCTGCCTCATACTGTCTGCAAACAATGTCAGAGAAATACAGGTTTGTTTCGGGGTGGTGTTCTGAGATATTCTACGAAAAAGAAACTGGGCTACGTTTGGAGGGAAAAGGCTTTGAATTTTTGCTTCTGGATAAAGATGTTAGCAATGGCTTCATGCCTTGGACAATGTGTCTAGCAGCCAGTATTCTGGTGAAAATCCTCAGAGATAGTTGGTCACCGATAAAAGCCAAGCACTGGGTGGTTAACTGGGTGGTAATACCTGAAATATGGGTGGTAATTACTGCCACTGGCTGGTAATATCTGGAATGTTGTCATTATTTCCTGGGGTTTTGAAGGGAAATAAACCAATCCCTTTGATAGTGTTTCATACTGGAAGAACATACATGTTTGCTGGGGCAAAATCTTAAAATGCAGGGAGCCCTGATGTTTAAATGCCTCCTGGAGACAAGGTTGGTTAGATGTGTGGTGATGTTAACAGACTCCTGGTTAGAGCCAGTGCTCAGCACTACGTCTAGGCTGTTCAAGAGGCATGGGCCATAATGCGTGTGGGGGGTTGTCAAGCATTACTTAGTGAGCCAGAGCAAGCTGCAAAAGTGTTCTTCACTCGGCAGTCCTTTGCCAAGGAGCAGATGTGTTCTGCTCCTTCAGCAGACTGTTCTGCAACAGTCATCAAAAGGCTCTAAAACAGCTTTAAAGTAGGGTGGAAATTTGTGGATGTTCATTGAGACCAAGTGGTGGTTCTCTGCCTCTGTCGAATTTTAAAAATGTTTTTGGAAGTCCAGAGTCACTTAGAACTGTTCTGAGAAGTCTTGCAGCTAAAATACTAACCCTCTCCTGTGTGCATGTCCTTTATTACAATATCTTTGTTTGTTCACTTCTCTGACAGATTGATTATTCAGACAAATGCTCAGATTGTTCAAAACTCCGTGAAAATTCCTCTAATTGGAATAAGGAATGCCACTGTTCTGTTAATTTCTCATTAAAGGAAGAAATATTGGTAAGTGGATGCTAGAAACCAACTTGAGTTGCTTAGTATTTCCTGTTACTTCTGTCCCTGTATGATAAAATACAGTAATTCTGCTCTGTAGAGCTCCTGACTAAATTTTCAGTGTACTTTTTAAAAACATGAAATATTCAAAATTATACACTTTTGCCTTTGCTATTCATTTTGGTACATGATAAAAATAATTCTGTTAATTTCTCATTAAAGGAAGAAATATTGGTAAGTGGATGCTAGAAACCAACTTGAGTTGCTTAGTATTTCCTGTTACTTCTGTCCCTGTATGATAAAATACAGTAATTCTGCTCTGTAGAGCTCCTGACTAAATTTTCAATGTACTTTTTAAAAACATGAAATATTAAAAATTATACACTTTGCCTTTGCTATTCATTTTGGTACATGCTAAAAATAATCAAGATCAGGCTACCTCTGTCCTTGGTTGAGAGATGTTTCAAGGAGAAGATGGGGATGGAGCAAATGGTGTTTAACTGTGGAGGTGACTTCTCCAGGCTACCTCTGTCCTTGGTTGAGAGATGTTCCAAGGAGAAGATGGGGATGGAGGAAATGGTGTTTAATTATGGAGGTGACTTCTTGCTGTACCTCTCTCTTTAAGTCATTAGCAAACCCTTGCCCGTGGCCTGGGGTTAGTTGTTACTGCACTGCTAAGCTGTCACATGAGAAGGAAATCTGAAGCTCTGACCACTTGTCATAAGTAAACCCCTCTAGTCTTTTCTACAAGGGTTATGCTGTTAATCCCCAAAGTCTTTGAAATAATCAAGTCTAGCAATGTCATTCTGCAGTTTCAGTTCAGAACAGTATCCTTCATTTCCTGTCCTAAACTACTGGGTTGTGTTGCTGAGACTACTAAAATGGTTCTTGTTCAGCCAAAGAGATCTTATGCTTGGTACTGCATAAATGATCCCTTAAAATTACAGTGCAATTTAAATTATAAAGTCACTTTAGGGTTCTTCAGTATTTAAGAGGCTGTTAAAATACTCTGTAATTCTTCAGATTACAGTGACGTTTGAGATGAGAAATTTATTTAACTGAATAATGTTTTTTTAATAGTTTAATAATCCTTTTTTTTCCTTATATTTGCCTGCTTAGCATTCTCCTTTTAATTACAGGACTAAACTTTCCAAAGTGTTCCAGTAATTTGTGAGAGGCAGCCTTATTTTTCAAAAAAGCTGAAGGAATTAAGAACTAATGGGTACTTTTTGAAGGCTTTTTGTGCACCTTCTTTTTATGGAAAATGAGTGTCTGTCTCCACAAAATTATTCATAGTCATTGCAGGTTCATGGCCAGCCATGCCATGTTGAGTAAAATAATAATCAGGCATTTTTATTTTAGGTTTCATTTGTTGATTTAAAGTATGTTTAATTTTGTGCCAAAATACTAAAACTTTAAGTTGCAGTAAAGACTAGATTCTAGCCAATGTCTGCTGAAGTAATTGCTTAGAGTGTAGTTACCAGTGCTTAAATATGAATCGAGTACTCTCTTCCCCTCTCTTTTTTAGAAAATAATAGGATTTCTCTTTGTCTACATGAACTCACCTTATTGAAGGGATTTATCCTTGAATTCTAGGGTGATGTTTTTATGTATTATGGCCTGCAAAACTTCTATCAAAACCACCGTCGATATGTGATATCAAGAAGTGACTCACAATTGTTGGGTCGAAATGTAAACGTAAGTTCTCTTCTTTATATTATGGGATCGTCAGTATTTCCATCAGGTAGATCTTTGACCATATGGAGACCTAACTAGGCGCAACTGTAAGTGTGTTAAGATGGCTCTAGGGAATAAGAAGGTACAGATTTTCAGTGTTTTATCTCTGCTTTTATGATTGTTAGGGCCATTATGTCTAATAGGTTAATAAGAGAGGAAGATTGAGGGGATAAATAAAAGATGTCAGTCCAGTATTGCAGCTCTCAAACCTGCACCTTGTAGGGATGATGATTAAAAATACATTGTCTTTTTCAAATAAATGTACACAAAGTTTTTCCTTCTAGTGTTTTCAGTCATCTTAGCCAGAAATGTTTTAAGCTGTGCTTTTATTATAGGGTTAGGGAATTAAGTTACTCTTAAGTCTTTCATTTTGCCATCTGGCTTTGGAAGTGGACAAGGAGCAGGAAGAGGCTTATGGTGAAATAGGTGATCATGTAACTTTCTGAAGTATGCAACTTAGAGGTCTAAAGAGGAGGCTAGACAACATTACCTGCACCAGGCCTGCATAAGGAAATTGAAGAATGCAATCATTGCATTCAGTTTTTTACTTACAGATCTAAAATGTGGGGGTTTTGGCTTAAAAGTAGCAGTTCTTAATATATACACAGTCCACACACTGTCCTCTACATGGAATGATTGTGCCATAATAATACTATAAAATGTTGCTTGTAACTCTCAAGACATGTTCCCCATACATCTGCTTCTCCAGGTGTCCACTCAGCTTGTTTGCATCCAGGTGCAACCATTTGTGGCTTTTGGGCCAAGCAGACCCACAGCTTATTAGAGTTTTTTGAAAATGTTTCTGTGTTCAAACCTGAAGATTTATAGTTTCTCATTAACTGGTATGAGAGAGGTGATAAATTTGAGACGGGCTTTTGTTTTTCATGCTGTGCCTTCATTCATCAAGATTTTCCCACACAGAACTGCAGTTACGTGGCTAACTGCATCTGCTGTTCTCCACCACTGAAACAGTCCAGGTCAAAATTAAAAAGAAGGAAAAATAAGATGTTCTAGGGTAAGGCAAGGCTTCACTGGAACATTTTAAATTGTAGCTCTGTTACAATAGCAGGTCCCCAAATGAGTTTTTGTAGCATAGAGTTTGCAAGTTCACAGCAGAATTTGGTGAAGACCTTAAGTTTACTTACTGTGATATGGAAGCTGTTCCTCAACTACAAACCCGTTTATTTGGGTTTGTCTCTAATGTGACAAAAAGGTACTTACTGGAGACTTAATTATTCAGTGGCTTTTCAGAAGAAGGAATGGGAGGAAAACATTAACACCAGCAAACCAAAACACAACACCCAGCTTCTGTGCCTGATTGTTCTGTGACCTTGAATGCAGATTCAGAAGAGCTACTGCGTGCCTTTCACCACCTACCGAAATGGGACGCCCATGGCTCCGTGCGGTGCTATTGCCAACAGCATGTTCAATGGTAAGTAGGTACCTTCCACATCTGCCTCACTAATTTCCACTTGAAACTATTCTGTTACCCCAATCCAGCTGAGTCCTGATATTGCAAGTTCTCTGTCTTTCTCCCACAAAAGGTTTTGTTTGGCAGTGCTACTGTGATGAATATGGGGCTCTGCTTCCTACTGTTTAGTAACTGGCTACTCATTTTGAAACTAAGGAAGATTTTTCATTTGCTAATACCCTCTTCAGTGTGAATATACAACAGGACTGAGGAATTGAGTCCCTGGTGAAATAAGGAACGATGATACAAAAGATTCCTTGCTAAAAACACATTCTTGTACAGTGATGGGAGAGCCCACATTCTGCCTTCCCACAGTGGTGTGCTTAGAAGGAGGTGCTATGTTCTTCACATTGGTTTGGACCTTTGGATCTATATAGTTGCATTTTGTTCTTTGAATGCTGGAAGCACACATAGTCTTACTCAGTTTGATCCCAGGTTTAATTTTGTTTATAGTGACCTAGTGGGCGTAATCTGCCTGTGAGTACATTTAGGCTGAAACCTAGAGGGCTCTTAGCCATGAACACTGGCAGATTTCAGAGTGGATTCCTCGGAAGGAAAGGAGACAAAAAACGTCTACTTTTCTCACGTAACCCATCCTTTTTGTCCACACACACCCGCTCCGTTTTTTTTACCTGTTCCACGCAGCAGTGTTTGGCAATGCAGCAGTTGTTTTCAAGCAGCTGAGCCACCCATACCAGAGGACTTGTGAAGGGCAGCTGCATTCAGTAACTTCTAGATCCATTTGATTTTCATCTGCCTGCGCACCCACCTGCTCCTCTGGAAGTCTGATTTACTGGGCTGGGCTCAGACCTAGGCCAGCAGAGCTACCTGCATGCAGCCCACACTTCTGGAGCCCTGTCTGCGGGACAGAATGCTCCTGCAGAGAACTAGGGATAGTAAGATTTTAAAATGCTGAGGGTAAACCTCCTGTGTCTGCCTTGGCATCAGTCTTTAGTGCACAGTGTGATGAAATGTTCCAGCTGCTGGTGATATGGGGGAAGTGGGTGATGTCTGAATCCCCCCTCTGGTAACTCCTTTCTGTGCCTCTGCTGTGAAAGAGGGTGCTTCCCATTCACTTTTGACAGTCTAGCTGGTTGTCTCATTGCTCTCTAGTCTTGTTTTTGTGGAATGAGGCAGATGGCTGAGTTCCTGCCATGGGGTACGTTTTTAACCCAAGCTGCCAGGTAAGGGAGCAGGCAGACAAGCAGTTAAGCAGGCAGAGCTCAGAGAATAGCAACTCCTGTTAACAAACCAGTGACAAACAGTTGGGGATGTAGTGGGGCACAGAATGATCACTTACTCAGGAGAGTGTGTCTGAGCCTTAAGGAGCTGTGTGAACACAGGTTTTGTAGCAGGATTAAAAAAAGTGTGTTTTCATTGATGCTCATGCAGTTGAGTTGTGTTTTTCAAGTTGCCTAAAAAGCAGTCCCTCCCCATCTGTATCATCTAACTATCCCTGCCCATTGTCTCACTGGCTGCCTAGGTGTTTACATAGATGTTGATGAGACCTATAAGGTTTTTGCTTTATGTTAAACTAATCTAAGTAGGAAAATATAATGGATAAAAACAAGTGATTTTTGCCCAACAAAACAGGATGGCACGATTAAACACAATTTTAACTAAATGTTTTTGATTCAAGGAAGTGCTCATGTCCAAGTTGGGACAAGGTCTAATTAGCATAGAACTAAAGCAAAATTTTCTCAGAAGGATCATGGATTCCCTTGGTTGTGCGGTCACCTCTCTCCTGTTTCCTGAAAACACGTTCTATATAGCAAAGCAATGGGTTTAGGATAACTGTCAAAGAAATGCAAGGGAAAGCTGATTAGGAAACTAACTTCTGTAAGTAGCTAGAGAGCTCCAAAAGTGATGTGCAAAAAAGTTAATCACAGAGGAGTTGATGGACATGAGATACTTGCACATATTTCTACACAGGAGTTCAATAGGATTATCGGTAGGAGTATGTTCAGTCTTTAAAACTTCAGAAGTTCTAAGGTTCTGGAACCTTAATTCTGCTTGTGGACAGTACAGTGCTCTGTACACAGTCATGATGAAAACTTTTCCAGGATTTTTTTTTGTTTTCTCTTTACGTGAAAGATGCTTCAATGTGACAGTTTTTTGTTGGTCGAGCTGGCAATTAGAACGACTATCTTTTACTCAAACGTATTGCTTCTTGTATTCCCTGCAGATACTATTGATCTTTTTTACAATCTTAAATCATCTGTTATTCAAGTACCACTGCTGAAGAGTGGAAACAGTTGGTGGACAGATAAAAATGTGAAATTTCACAATCCGAAATCATACAATCTCTCTTCTGCATTTGCAGGTAAGAATAATAGTTCCACTGGTATTCCTTATTTTTCAAAGACTTCCTTACCTCGTCCGCCATATGTGAGGGTCTCCCACTCTGAGACAAATTGCCTTTGTGAGAAATACCTCTCCCAAAAACACCTGTTGGAGAAACAGCTTTAGAGGGTAACTGAGAGCAGAAGCCAACATATCTCTCTTTTTTTTTTTCTTTTTTTTTTTTTCCATCACTGACCATAGAAATTGGGAGAAAGTGGTTTCGGAAGACTGAAGTTAGCCCACGTCAACACCATTCTGTATAGTTTCTTGTAATGCTTAATCTATCCAAAGAAAGCAAGGATGCAGTCACTGTCTTTTTTCCTATGGAAAACGTCTGTAAAGGACAATTGCATGTCATGTCTTTCCTTCTTCATGCCTTTGCAGATCCTTAGGCAGTTGTGAGATGAGTGAGGCTGCCATTGTCACTAGTTCTTTCAAATAGCTGTTTCCTTGTTATGGCTGATCTGTACTGACGTGGGACTAAAAGCTCCCTGTGCTGGATGCAATATGCAAGAGTTAATTATCTAAGTAGTTTTCATATGACAGATTCTAAATATCATAGGCTGTGCCGTTAGGCTGCAAAAAGGTGCTGTTCTGGTTGTACAGGGATAAATTAATGTATAAAAAGAAGGCAAGCTCCTCAATATAGGGAGCATGTTGCTTGCTGAAGAGGCAAGAATCCAGAATAAACAGTATTTTCATTTGTACAATTCACTTGTTTTTTCCTGTGCTTGATGTTTCTAATGTGTAGCAACCCCTGGGTACTGTTAAACTGTTCATTCGTGTTGAGGTGAGTGGAGATGCTTGGGTGAAAAGTGTTATCTAGCATATATAATTTTTCAATACTGAACAGTCTCTTGTGTCCCTTTCATATCTCATATTCTGTGTTGCTTGTAAGTAGGCCAAGAAGTTAGTCACCAACCACTGTTTTTACTAACATTATGTCTTTCCTGGTTTCTCTCTTTTTTTTTTATCAGGGACAGCAAGACCTCCTTACTGGCAGAAACCAGTATATCTGTTAGATGAGGAAGATGAAAGGAACAACGGTTATGTAAATGACGACTTCATTATCTGGATGCGAGTGTCAGCCTTTGCTACGTTCAGAAATCTTTACCGTCGTGTCAGACGGATAAGGCAGTTTGCGGATGGCCTCCCAGCAGGGAATTACACTTTTCATATTTCCTATAGTATCCTTCCATGTTATCCAAGACTGTTAGATAGTTACAATGAGATGGAAGTGGATGGGATTTGTATAGCAAAATGGCAAAACACCCCAAGCTATACTATCATGAAAAGACCTAGTGTTGAGGGTGATGTGACAGTACAAGTGGATTTTCTTTAGCCCATGCAGATGGAGTTAAGACACATTACTCAAATGGCAGCACATGACTTTGGATTTGACTTCTGAGGGGGCTACTTTGGCTGGAGACAGCACATGGGAGCTTTACACAAAGGGTAGAACTGAAGAGTGGGAACCTGAAGAGATGGTTGAAGATGTTGTTTTAGCTGAAATATTTAATAGTGGCCTAATCAGATGTGTAGACACCCTTACTGGGGTGCACAAAGTGCCAGAGGTATCCATGCCCTTGAGAGCTGTGTGGGATGCCTGTGTCAGCAGAGGCCTGTGGCAGATTTGGACCATGTGCTGACGGGAACTTTTGTGCTGGTGAAAATGCACTGTCACGCTGAACCATGTTGACTAGAGTACTTGTTTTATCAGCAGGAGTTATGTCAAGATGACTATAAATTTCTCTTCTCTCTCAGCTGGTAGAGCTAGGATTTTAAATGTTGTAGCACAGTTCTATTCTGAAAGCTTCCACATGAAAAGATGAAAGGTAAAATCAATATACCATTCTGGGTAGGCAACATACTAGGTAGAGATGAGCACTTCCTCTCAGGAAGAATATGTGGAGTATGGTCCTGGTAAGCTGTACAAAAGGCTCATTTTCAACTGAGTTTTCATAGCATAGTAATGCAGTAGCAGTTACATAAATTATGAATCTAAAATTTATAATGTTAAAAAAAAAGTATTTTACATGTTCACACAAAGACTGTATCTAAAATAACTGGATTTCTTTGCACCAGCTGCTGCTGGGTTTTTGGACTCAGAAGAGTGAAGACATCACAGATCAGTTAAAGGAATTTTTGCAGCAAATGTGGTTCTGCAGACTCTTTATGCCTTGGAAAGGTTTTTGAGCACTTACCGCTAATTTTTTTCCTCCTGGAAATAATGTAAACTTTGTTAGTGAAACCTTAACATCCTCCTATCAGATTTCCCCGTTACCAAATTCAAGGGGAGGAAGCATGTGATTCTTTCAACCGTGGTATGGAGCGGAGGAAGTAACCCATTCCTGGGAATTGCCTACGTGGTTTCTGGCACAGCAGCAACGCTGACAGGTTTTGTCATAACTGCCATCCACTTGAAACTCAGAAAAAAGAAAACATACTTTCAGAAGTAATGAGGTTCCCTGGCTTTCCCTGGAACAAAGGCAAAGGTATGCTGTGAACAAAGAA